GGAAGCTGGAATGTCCACATTCCCACATTCCCAGTCAGTCTTGGCTGTGTGGAAGCAAGTTGATAATGTGGTCATGACCTTGCACTTCTGACAGTGTTTTTCCCAATGACTGACCAGGAAGTGAAATTTGGAGGTAACACAGAACAGGCACAGAAAGGACTCAAAATATCATCATGGGAATCATTAAAGAACTGGGAACCATGAATTTCCATGAAAGGCAGAGATCTAAATGCAGTTAATTTACCACCACAAAAAAAACCAAAACCAAACAAAAAAAAACAAACCCAAAAAAACACAAAACCAAAACAACCAAAGAAACCAAAAACAAACTCCCCCAAAATCCTCATCAACTTGTAAAAGTATGGAAGCTAATCAACAGCCTAGGAGACAAAAAAAAAAAGTATATTTATAGTGGAAATGTGAAGCTATACAAGATGAGACCACAATAAACTGGAAAAGGTGCACATTACCCAGATTGTAGAAAACTGGCCACTGGAAACATGAAATATTTTTATGCAGAGTTTAAGAAAAAGTTTGGCCATTTTTTCTAACTATTGCACAGTAACTTGAACGGGATTTAATTCAAGTTACTTTTAATTCAAGTTACTTTTAATTCAAGTTACTCCTTCCCTGTGACCCCCGTGAGCTCCAGCAAAGACTCCCCCAATTCAATGAACTAAAAAGACAATTAAATGAACTAAAGGTGGGTTGTTTCTCTTTTTTTTTATTCTCCTTTCCCTCAGCAGCAGAACAAAGCCCTGGCTCAGTCCTGCATTTCCTGCACACGGAAGGTTCGGGGGCTTTGTCTGTCGGCAACAAAACCTCAGCGAGCTTTGAAGAGGAAAAAAAGAACATTTTAGGGAGAAGAAGGAGCTCGCCAAGAAAAACCTGTGGAACGTCGGTGCCCTCTGTTGGCGCCTGAAAGTGGATTTTCCTCTCCCGGGTCTCCGAGGGGAAAATAAAGGGGAAAAAAATATCGATGTGTTGGACACGGGGGGGGGGGGGCTTCCAAAAATACCTGGATGTGGCACTTGGGTGGTGAGATTAATGGTTGGACTCGATCTTGGAGGGCTTTTCCAGCCTCAGGGATTCTCCAGATCTCGTTTTAACTCTTTAAAACGTTAAACTCTTTAACTCTTTAAAACGTTAAACAATCGTTTAAACAATTCAGTTGAATGAAACGTCGTATTTCGAAATTCTCTCCGTTTCTAACTTTTGCTTCGCCTCTAAAACCTTCGGGGTGTTTTTCAGGGATATTTCATTTTCTCCCTTGAAAAGAGATTCAAGAAAACCAAAAGCTTTTTAGGCATTTCACTGAATGCCAACAATTTGAGAGAGAACCCTTTTTATTTTACCTTCCAGCCCAGATCGACCTGCAGTTTAAACCAGGACTTTAAAACTTGTCTTGGTTTGAAATTGCCCCCCCTGGGAGCTGGGGGACCTAGAGGTGAGATGATTTGTGTAATAATTGTAATATAATTTCTTTCCTTTCCATATTGAGTCTTGTGTTGTGCCTGGAAAATCCCTCTCACGCTGGGGTGAGTTGTGGGAGGGGGGCTTGGACTTGGAAATGGGATTTTTGGGGGTCTCAAACCACCACAAACCCCCCCTAAACTCTGCAATTTGAGCTAAAAATTCAGCCACCCTCTGAGTCAAACATCAGGGCAACGTAAATATTATTCTTTCTGATGGAAATTTAAACACTCTTTCCAAGCTCTCAGTTCTGAGCCAGGAGCTTTCGTTTCCTTTGGTGCAACGAGCAGCCCTTGTACTGAAACCCTCCAATGGGGTTTTCCCTCGGAATTGGGGTTTTAAGCAGCCAGGAAAAGGGGTTGGTTTTCCCATCAAGGAGCCAGATGGTTGGGCAAGCAGAAAGTGGAACTGCTCTTCGAGGTAGGGCGGGAAAAATCTGAATTTCCATGGATTAATCAAGCCCAGCTCAGCCTGTTTCAGTCTTCACTGGCCCCTCAACACCCCCAAAAAGCCTCGTGCACCTCAGCCAGGCTTCCCCTGGCCACTCAGAATTTATTCCTCATGCCCTTGAAGGGTTTCTTACCCCAAAAAGTTGCTGTTCCTCTGCGGGAAACACTTTGTCAGCCGCGGTTTCCTGCTCGTTTCGTGGCGGGAGCTGAAAAACCAGGGGAGGGAACGGGCAGGAAATGAGAGAGGGGGAGGCACAAAGGGAAAGAAGTGCAAGTGCAGAGGGGCACGTTCAGTGACAAAAGGGTTGGGGTGAAAATTCGGTGACAAAAGGATTCAGTGACAAATTCAGCGGCAAAAGAATTCGGTTGCAAATTCGATAAAAAAAAAAGATTCGGTGTCAAATTCAACAACAAAAGAATTTGGTTGGAAATTCAATAACAAAAGAATGTGGTTGAAAATTCAGTTAAAAAAAGAATTGGGTTGAAAATTCAGTGACAGAAGAACTTGGATGAAAATTCAGTGACAAGGGAATTTAGTTGAAAATTCAGTGACAAAAGGATTCAGTGTCAAATTAAACAACAAAAGAATTCGGTTGAAAATTCGATAAAAAGAAGATTCAGTGTCAAATTCAGTGACAAAAGGATTGGGTTGAAAATTCAGTGACAAAAGAATGTGGTTGAAAATTCAGTTAAAAAAAGGATTGGGTTGAAAATTCAGTGACAAAAGAACTTAGATGAAAATTCAATGACAAAGGAATTTAGTTGAAAATTCAGTGACAAAAGAATTCGGTTGAAAGTTCAACAAAAAAAAGACTTTGGTTGAAAATTCAGTGACAAAAGAATTCAGTGTCAAATTAAACAACAAAAGAATTTGGTTGAAAATTAAAAAAAAAAAAGATTCAGTGTTAAATTCAGTGACAAAAGGATTTGGTTGAAAATTCAATAAAAAAAGAATTTGGTTGCAAAATCAATGACAAAAGAATTTGGTTGAAAGTTCAATAAAAAAAAGATTCAGTGTCAAATTCAATGACAAAAGGATTTGGTTGAAAATTCAATAAAGAAAAGGATTTGGCTGAAAATTTAGTAAAAAAGAATTTGGTTGAAAATTCAATAAAAAATAGAATTTGGTTGAAAATTCAGTGACAAAAGAATTTGGTTGAAAATTCAGTGACAAAAGGATTTGGTTGAAAATTCAATAAAAACAGAATTTGGTTGAAATTCACTGACAGAAGAATTAGGTTGCAAATTCAATAAAAAAAAGATTCAGTGTCAAGTTCAGTGACAAAAGGTTTTGGTTGAAAATTCAATAAAGGCTTTGGTTGAAAATTCAATAAAAAAAATAGAATTTGGTTGAAAATTCAATGACAAAAGAATTTGGTTGAAAATTCAATAACAAAAGGATTCAGTTGTAAATTCAATGAAAAAAGATTCAATGTCAAATTCAGTGATAAAAGAACTCGGCTGAAAATTCAATTAAAAAAAAAAGAATTTGGTTGAAAATTCAATAACAAAATAATTCAGTTGCAAATTCAATGACAAAGGGATTTTGGGGGGGGAATGTTGCTGGAATAACCAGAATTCTGTAACTGAGGGGATGGATTGGGAAAGTCAAACTGAGGGATAATGGGAGCACCTAAAAAATAAACCCCATTTTCCAAATTCTTCCTTACACCTCACAGGCACTTTGCTGAATTTTCAAGTTTATTTTACCTTTTACAAAAGGTCAAAATCAGAAATCTTGTTGAAAACATGGGAAAAACCCCCCCAAAAGAGTCCACACAGAACTGAGAACACCAAGATGGGGCAAGGAGGGTCTTTAATAACCAGTATTTAGATTTCTGAGGATAATAAATCCCCCTGCTCACAGGGCAGAGACAGACTTTTCAACTTTAAAATAAAAGTTATTCTATTTATCCAATGCTTTCACCTTCCCTTGGCTCAATTCACCTCAATCCAGAATCTGCACTTGTGGAGGGAAAAAAATAAATCACTTTTCCAGTGAATTTCACACAAGGAAAAATTTGTCAGGAATAAAATAAAATAAAATTTGTCAGGGATAAAATAAAATGAAATTTGCCAGGGATAAAATAAAATAAAATTTGTCAGGAATAAAATAAAATGAAAATTGTCAGGAATAAAATAAAATAAAATTTGTCAGGGATAAAATAAAATGAAATTTGCCGGGAATAAAATAAAATTAAATTTGTCAGGAATAAAATAAAATTTGTCAAGAATAAAATAAAATAAAGTTTGCTGGGAACACGAGAGACTCAAAGAAGGCAAAAATACATTGAAAGCATTAATTATGTCTCACAACATCCTTTTAGGGTGGAGAAATATCCCATTCCACGTGAAGGGCATGTCAGTCAAAATTAACAATCATAGGGAAGCTGGAAGATTAAAATTGGGATTAAAATTTTGTTCTTTTTCTTCAGGGGCAGAGGGGAAAAAAACCCATCAATGTTGGGCTTTTCCCTGTTTTTCACTGTCTTTTCCTGCTCTGTAAACTCATTCAAGCCAATGTCTTCCTCTGGGCAGGTTGATCCTCGTTTGAGGGGTTGGGAAGTGTCCCTTTTGTGAGCCAATATTCCAAATTTCAATTCCGGGGATTGCCGAGGGACGGGACAACAAGAATGACAAGAATTACTCCCTTTTTTTTCTTTTTTTTTTTTTTTAATCCCTGGTTTCCCTGCAAATTCCGTGGCTTCCCGAGGGAAGCTCTGTGCCCTGAGAACTGGGCCTGAGCAGCACCTTCTGCTGGGATGGCAGAGGATGGAACGGGGGCAGAGGAACACCGGGATGGAGGTTGGGCAGGAGGGAAAAGCACGGTGAGCTCAGGGAAAAATAAGGGAATAAGAATATTCCTTCTCCCTGTGCCCTGTTCCCTTCATGTGGGCATCACTCTGGAAAAGGGAAAAGCTGTGAGAGCGCCCTCAGGAATGAGTGCCAGCCTGAATCAGCAGGATTTTCATTTCCCAAAGCCACGTTTGTCGAGAGCAAAGCCCCAAAATGCCCCAAAAAGCCGCTCGTCCTCCTCTTCCTCTTCCTCCTCCTCCTCGCCGCGGGTCTCCCGATGCTTCACAGCCCATCCCCTTCCTCCTGTTCCTTTGGGAAAGCTCAGCTCCCCGTTCCCACGGCGCCCCACAGCAGTTTATCTGTTGGAGAGCTCGTTGGAGACTTTGAGGGACAACACGGAAAACTTTTCCTCGGCCGTTTTTCCTCCGTGCTCTTCCTCGGGGAACTGGATGCTGGAGGTCTCCGGGAGCTGCGGAGCCGCCGGCGGCCTAGGGAAGTGATGTTCCACGTCTGCAGTGAGAACAAGGACAGCAACTGCACCCACGAGGGTCTCCACACACCTCGGGGGTCCCAAAGACCTTCCCAAAAAGAGGGAAGGATGGAAGGGGTGGAATCGTGGCATGGGTTGGGTTGGAAGGGATGTTAAACCCACTCTGCGCCTTCCCTTAGAGCAGGTTGTTCCAAGATGGCCTTGGACTCTTCCAGCTGGCCTTGGACTCTTCCAGCTGGCCTTGGACTCTTCCCCAACTCCCCAGGGTTGGGGAATCCATTCCAGGGCCTCACCACCCTCCCAGGGACGGATTTTTTCCCCAATATCCCATCTCACCCTGCCCTCTGTCAGTGGGGTTGGAAGGGATTTTAAACCTGCTCCATGACTTCCATTAGAGCAAGTTGCTCCAAGATAGCCTTGGACACTTCCAGGGATAGGGAATCCTCTGGGCAATCCATTCCAGGGCCTCACCACCCTCCCAGGGAAGGATTCTTGTCCCGACATCCCATCTCACCCTGCCCTCTGTCAGTGGGGTTGGAAGGGATTTTAAACCTGCTCCGTACCTTCCCTTAGAGCAGGTTGCTCCAAGCTGGCCTTGGACTCTTCCAGGAATGGGGAATCCATTCCAGAGCCTCACCACGCTCCCAGGGAAGGATTTTTTCCCGATATCCCATCTCACCCTGCCCTCTGTCAGTGGGATTGGATGGGATGATCCCCTTCCCACCCTGTGGTGTGACCTGAGCGACACTCAGCGACCCGCCCCCAAACCCGCTGGGTAAATCCATCTGAATTCCGTTTATTCCAGCTTCATTTATCCCACTCAGCCTCCTGGAGAGCCCCCGAGGGTGCCCTTACCCTCAACTGCGAAATATTTGTCCTTCAGGGTCCAGATGCAGAAGTGCAGGAGGAAGGTGAGCAGGATGAGCACGAACACGGCCACGGCCGTCAGGATGGCCAGGATGGTGGTGGACAGGGAGCTGGAGGGCAGGAGAGCTGTAATTAAAGAGATTTAATCAGAATTAAGGAATTATGTGCCCAGGTTGTTGTTAAAGGAGAGATATTTCGAGGAAGTTTAGGTGTTAATTTAGTTTTTCGGGGGGAAAATAAGTTCCCGAGGAAAGAGGGCGAGTTTCAAGTCAAGGGTGTGAGGGAGTTGTGGGATAATGAAGGAAGGGAGAAAGGGAGAAATAAAAGGGGGAAAGGAAAAGGGAAAGAAAGTAGGAAGGGGAGTGAAAAAAGAAAAGGAAGTAAAAAAAAAGGGAAAGGGAAAGGGAAAAGGAAAAGGAAGGGGAAAGGGGAAAGGGGAAAGGAAAGGGGAAGGGAAATGGAAAGGGGAAGGGGAAAGGGAAATAAAGAAATGGAAATAGAAATAGAAACAGAAATAGAAATACAAATAGAAATAGAAACAGAAATAGAAATATAAACAGAAATAGAAATACAAATAGAAATAGAAACAGAAATAGAAACAGAAATACAAATACAAATAGAAATGGAAACAGAAATAGAAACAGAAACAAAAATAGAAATATAAATTAGAAATAGAAATTAGAAATTAGAAATAGAAATTAGAAATAGAAGGAAGAATATGCTGAGTTGGGAGGGACCCTCAGGGATCACTGTCTGTGGGAACCATTCCTGCAACCCCCCCTTCTCATCTCTTCCTTGTTCAAGGTCTCTCCCACTTGTTCTGTCTCCTCTGGTTTTTTGGAAGGATTGGGGTTCAATGTTTCCTGCCCAGCACCTCAACAAGCCAGATTTTCACCCCTGTATTTGCCTCCCAGGAGCTGAAAGCAGCATCATTTTTGCAGTTTGTCTCAGCAGGACTGAGAATATTTTTGGATAACGGGCCTGGATCTGAGAGGCAGCAATTCCCTGGAGGGCCAAGGGGGTGGGAAAGGGCAGGAGCAGAGGAGCTTGGGGGCTGGAAGGTGCTCAGGACCCCCAAACCCTGTCATTTGATCCATGGCAAGACATGGAATTCCAGGTCTGGGTGCCCTGGGCTCAGCCAAGACTTATTAGGGAACCAAGCCATTGTTTTCCCAAGAAACCCCGGCAAAATAGCCGGAGCATTCCAGTGGAAAACTCCAATAAATGTGCTCTATCCAAGGATAACTGGGCTCTCCTCTACCTGGGTCACTGGCAGAGCTTTGGATCTTTGCCCAGGTCAACAATTCCACGACTAAACTCGCAGGGAACACAGCTGGAATTCCCAAAGCCAGCTGCCATGGCAGCGAGCTCCGGGTGGGAAAGAGTCCCAGGGGAATTCCCAAAGGAGCAAATCTTTGGGAGAAGGTACCTTGCTCCACATCTTTGGGAGAAGGAAGGAGGCCACACTTGGAGTTGTGGGTGCTGTTGCCTCGGCTGAGTGTCACAAACCCCGAGCTCTCACAGCTGGAAGAAGAACAAGAGGGACAGTTGGAATATCCCTGTTTTCCCTTATCCCTGTTTTCCCTTATTCCTGTTTTCCCTTATCCCTGTTTTCCCTTATTCCTGCTTTCCCTTCCTTCCTCTCTTGGCTCCCCTTTTTCCTTCCCTCCCTCTTCCCACAGCTTGTTTCCTTTAATCCCCTTTTACAGCAGTGCAGGTAAAGTTCTTGCTGTTCCCCCACATCACAGCTGCTTTATATTCCCATTTTCTTTACTCTCTTTGTTTCCAGTTTGGAATAATGTCCGTGTTTGGAATAATTTCTGAGCTGGACTTGGAAGCAAGTTGAAAACCCAGCAGTTTGTCTTAAGTTCTGCTTTGAGACTGACTAAAATGCTTAAAGAGACACATCTTGATTAATTTAAAAAGCTCATCAGTTCATCTCATTGGTGATCTTGTCTTTGGTTGGGTTTTACTTTGCAACGTCAGCATTAAATATTTTAATAGTTCTTTAAATGTCAATTAATAATTAATAATTATAAAATTATTTTTCAGTATTTAAATGTTAATTAATATTAATTTAAATATATTAATAATATTAATATTATTTAAAGTTTATTTAATATTACTTTTAATATATTAATAATACCAATATTATGTAAACATTAATTAAATTGATATTTTAATATTATTTTAAACAATTAGATAATTATTAAAATAATAATGTATAGCCATTAGTAACAATTAGCATTATTAATTAATGACAACTATTTCATATTATTAATTTAATATTAATAATATTAAGATGATATTTAAATAATAATATAGTATTAATATAATAATAATCTAAATAATAATAATAATAATAGATATATAATATTATATAGTAGTTTCATATTAATAATATTAAGATGATATTTAAATAATAATATAATATTAATATAATAATCTAAATAATAATTAATATTAATTGCTATATAATATTATCTAGTAATTTAATATTAATAATATTAAGATGATATTTAAATAATAATATACTATTAGTATAGTAATAATCTAAATAATAATTAATATTAATGGCTATATAAAATTATCTAGCAATTTAATATTAATAATATTAACATTATATTTAAATAATAATATAATATTAGTATAATAATCTAAATAATAATTAATATTAATTCCTATATAATATTATCTAGCAATGATGATTACTATTATTATTCTAATGCCTATTTTCCAAGCAGGGCAATGTCAGTAAATCCATACTCAGTCCAGTTCCTACACCAGCCATTCTTCACACTGGAATAAGTTCCCGTCTCACAGGGTTTACATTTGAATGTGAAATCTGTGTCTCCTGCAAGAAAAGAGAAGGGGAAGGGTCGGTGCTCAGATCCTGCAGGGAAAGGTGGGATCAGAGCAGCAGGAATTAATAAGCATATTAAGGAATATTATCTAGATATAAATACGTATTATATTTTATTTATGATGCATTATATGTTATATTTTATAGAGAATTTTTATATTTATAACATATATTTTACTATATATGATATATATTTTATTATATATTGTATTTTATACATTATATTATAATATATACATATATAAATAAATATATAAACAAATATATAAATATATAAATAAATATATAAAATATATATAAATATATCTAAAAAGATATAATTTATTTAAATATATTTTATATATTTATGTATTTATGTATCAATATATTTATATATAAATATATATTTATATATTTATATGTATTTTATATATTTATATATATTTTATATATTTAATATATATCTATATACACAATATGATATATTATGTATTATTTTATATATAGTATTTTATGTATTATAGATTATATATTTATTGTAGATATTTTAATATATTTTATATATTATGTATAATATTCTATATTGTATATTATATTAATTATATTAATTATACTAAAAGCATAACAGGGCATATAATATATATATTCTAGCATATTATATATATATATTCTCCATAAGGAAGTGGGAAGGGCAGTGACATTCCAAGGCTTGGGCAGACTCTTGGAGTGAGTTTGGTGTTGGTTTAGTTACCAATCCTGGTGAGCTCCTGTCCCTCAGCACACTCTGGCAGCTTCCTGCAGTACAGACAGTTGTTATCCCCACAGCTGTGGCCCTGGGGGCATTTGCAGTCCCGGTCCTCGATGCCCTGGCACAGGCTGTTGCCTCCTGCCAAAAAGAAAGAAAGAGCTTGGACTTGCCTTTCCACAGAGCCCACAAATTCCCATGGCTGGGAATAATCCCTGGAATAAATGGATGCCAGAAGATGTCACTCCCAACACGCTGGGGGATGGTTGGAGTGCCCAAAAGCAGCACCACTCACATTTTTATACCTGTTGGCAGAACTGGGTCTAAACTCAACCCATTAAACCAGCACCTTTCCCACCCTCCATCCTTCTGTTTCCAGAGGAGTTTTGTCACGAACTTTGCTTGCCCTGAGAAAATATCCCCTCTAGTTCTGAGGCTTCATGGAAGCAAAGGGTTGCTGATGTCTCCTGAGCCCATCAGTGAACAGCATCAAGCCCTTGAGGCAACAGGGAAAAGATTAAGAAGAAAAGGTTAAGAAGAAAAGGTTAGGAAGGAAAGATCTGCTCAATCCTGAAGCTGAGTAACTCTTAAAGGAAAAAAAGCCTCCATGGAAATGCTGGCTGGGTCAGTGGTGTGATTAAAAACCCGCAGAGAGTGGTAAAGATCATCTCCTGAGATTGGTGGTGGAATGTCCAGGATCACCAGGGGAATGCCCACACCTTCCTGTGCCAACTGCCCTCCTCTCCCTGACCTTCAGAGCTCCAGGAGGTGTGGAGTGAGTGCCAACAGCCTGGGGAGGCTTCTGGCTGCAAATCCCCCCCTGCTCAGCTCTGGCTGCACTAAAGAACAGAATGGTTGGTCCTGGGACCATGGAAGGGGCCACGAGAATCCTCTGCTCTGTCCTGCAGCTTCACAAACACAGGATGTGCCCTGGTCAGCCCTGCAGCTGCCCCCTCCCACCTCTGCTGCTTCAATTTGACTTAAAATGACAGGGGAGTTACAATCATGGACCACACGATGTGTTGGGTCGGGAGGGATTGTAAAAATCATCCAGTTCCACCCCCTGCCACGGGCAGGGACACCTTCCACTGTCCCAGGTTGCTCCAACCTGGCCTTGGACACTTCCAGGGATGGGGCAGCCACAGCTTCTCTGGGGAAACCTGTGCCAGGGCCTCACCACCCTCCCAGGGATGGGTTTCTTCTTAATATCCAATCTAAACCTGCCCTCTAAATCCAACACCACCCCGAGATCAGGCAGGAACACAGGCTAGAACCAGTGATCACCTTGTGTGTGCATTCTGGGATGGGCACAGGTGAGTGCCCACTGCCCTGGGGAGCCTGTTCAGTGCCAACCACCCTCTGGGGGAAGAACCTTTTCCTGACATCCAACCTAAACCTCCCCTGGCACAGCTCCAGCTGTTCCCTGAGTCCTGTCTCTGGTCAGTAGAGCTGCCCTTCCACTTCCCCCTGTGAGGATCCAGGCACCTCCTGAATTTAGGGTTCAGAGGAAACTCTTCCCATCTCTCTCTGCACCTCCAGCTCCTCGAGACACACTCGGCCAAACAAACCTCCCCTGGCAGACACAAAGATTCCCTTACCTTCCATCAGGATGCATTTGGGGCAACATTTCTCTGCATCTTTGCTGGTGATTTTCCTCTCCCCAGGCTGGCACTGCAGTGCCAGGCTTTGCTGTGCCCAGAGCTCCAGGCACAGCAGCAACAGCAGAGCCTGAGCCCTGAGGGGCCCAGATTTGAGGGTCATGTCTGGAGCAGACAACCCAAAAGCAGGGCAGGGTGGGCTGTGGCAGGGCTGTCCTGCCCCAGGGCTCCTTCCCCTGGCTCTGGGGCAGGTGCTGGGCTTTTTGTGGCCTCGCTCTTCCTGCTTTTGGAGGGGCGGGGAAGTGATTTCGGGCACGTCACCAAATCTGACAGCAGTGACTCTGAGTGTCAGAGCAACAGGGGAAGGGTGAGGTGCAGCACGATCCTCCAAGGGGCTTGCAGGTGGATGGACAACTGGGAATTAAAGCAAATTAAGTGGTTGGGTGGATTCAGCGCAGCCAGGCTGTTTGATTCATGGAATCGTGGAATGTTTGGGTGGGAAGGGACCTTAAAGCTCATCCAGTCCCACCCCCTGCCAAGGGCAGGGACACCTTCCACCAGACCAGATTGCTCCAAATCCCATCCAGCCTGGCCTTGGACACTTCCAGGCGTGGGGCAGCCACAGCTTCTCTGGGAATTCCATGCCAGCCCCTCCCCACC